AGTCAAAACATACTTGGAAACGTTGAAATGGGAAGTCCTACTTCACCCGCCGTATTCTCCAGACGTTGCTCCCTCTGACTATCACTTGTTTCGATCAATGGCACACGGCCTGGCTGACCAGCACTTCCGGTCTTATGAAGAAGTAAAAAATTGGATCGATTCGTGGATAGCCTCAAAAGATGACCAGTTTTTTCGACGCGGGATTCGTACGCTACCCGAAAGATGGGAGAAAGTAGTGGCCAGCGATGGACAATACTTTGAATCATAAATGTATAACCAGTTTTTTACAATAAAGCCTCGAATTTCGGAAAAAAAAACGGCGGAAGCAAAGTTGTACACCTAATAGTAGATTATGTAATTGCGTTGCATTCTTGTGGGACTGCAAACTTCAAGCGCGCTTTCTGAGTCTGAAAATATAATGCTCTTTGTAATATCTTGTAACGTGAATTTGTCTATGGCCCATGTCGCCTTAACAGCACAAACGTTGATATGTCGACTGTAAGTTGACTTTATACAGACGCCTTCCAATGTCGACTTTAGGACGGCGATTTACTCTCACAAAATTAGAATCATTTCTTTCTTATTGTTTAACTATTTTATAGTTAAACTAGGACGAATGCTGTTCATGAGCGTTTTGGGCATAAATCAAATTACTGCCTATAAAAATAATATATAATCAATTTTTAAAATAGTCGACTTAAGTCGACTTTAAGTTGACTTATCAAAAAGTCTGCACAAAATATTCATGAGATGTCGTTGCAGTGTACGCGCACATGATTGCGCACGATGCAGCATATAACAGCTAAATACAGAAATAGCGGCCGGGAGTCTGTTAATAATTAAAAAATAGAATTAATATTATAAAAGATTTATTAAAGATTTGGGAACATAAATGCAACTATGTATTTTTGTGTAAAATATTATTTATGTACTGGGAGTACAAATTAGTTCGGTCCATTTCCCTAAAGATGGCTCCAGCTGTTGTGAATGGTTCATAGTGACAGCTGATTTCAGGCGGTTTCAGAGAGGTTAAACATCTGCTAATAATATTCAGTTTATATCGCTTTGAATTTCATACAAAAACCTTGACTTTTACTGTGTTTGAAATGTCGAATTTTGTGTTAACCAAGAAGTATTTGCGGGAGGTTTTGATTTTCTGCTTTAATTGGAAGAAAAGTGTGGCTGAAGCCCATCCAATGCTTGTGTCGAAGTTTATGGTGACTAAAAAATAGTCCAGCAGAGTCAAATCGCAGCTGCGAGGCGGCCAATTGACATCAACATTTCGGCTGATTATGCGATTTTCGAAGACAGTGCGCAAAAGATCGATTGTAGCGTTGGCTGTGTGGCAAGGTGCGCCGTCCTGTTGAAACCAAATGTTGTCTGTGTCCTCCTCTTCAAATTTGGGAAGCAAGAATTCGTTTAGCATGGCGCGACAGCGCTCGCCATTGACAGTGACAACAGCTCCTTGCTCATTTTCGAAGAAAAATGATGGCCCAATGATGCCGCCGGACCAAAAACCACACTAAATAGTCACTCGTTGTGGATGCATCGGCTTCTCTATGACGACGTGCGAATTCTCTGATCCCCAAATACGACAATTCTGCTTGTTCACATAGCTACCGAGATGAAAATGAGCTTCGTCAGAAAAGATGATTTTTCGGTAAAAATGCTCATCTTCAACCAAGCGTTGTTCAGCCCATTGGACGAATCGAAAACGCACCGGATGGTCATGCGGCTTCAATTCTTGCACTAATTGAATTTTGTACGGCTTCATACCGAAGTTTTTATTCAAAATTCTTCTCAAAGAAGTGCGTGAAATGTTCAACTTTTGAGAACGAGTTGATGGTTGTTCAAGCACACTCTGAGCAACTGCAGCAATGTTTTCGGTTGACTTTAGTGGACGAGCACATGAACGAGTTGCTTTATTCAATAAGGATCCAGTTTGCTGAATTCGCTTCACAAATTGATCCATAAACTGCGTTGAAGGCATTTCTTTTCTACCAAATTTTCCATGTAAATTTCTTACAGTTTGGGTTGAAGACTTACCACTTTGAAAGTAAGTTTTCAATATTTTTCAATTTTGTTCAAGCGTATAGTGACCCATTTCGTAAATGTCAAACAAAAAACTAAATTTCTGATACGTCATAAATGTTATTACGCCTTTAAAACTCAAAATAACCGGTAGTTGAAATTCCAAACGCTAGATGGCCCACCCTATAAATCCTAGAATGTCTGTATGATGATTGACTTAAAATCGGGTTCTGTTACATGTATGCGCCCTAATAGCACAAAGTCAACTCTAAGTCGACTCTGAGTCGACTATAGCTTCTAGACATCTGAAAAACGGACATCCGATAAGTCGATTTTAGACGACTTAGAGACGTCTCGAAGTCGTGCAATGTCCCACTTTAAAGACGGCTGTAAGTTGACTTTAAGTGCGATTGCACCCATCCAGTATACTTCTATAAGTTATACTTCTATAAGAACGTGTTCAAATTTGCACTGCCTCCGTGCAAATATATATAATATATAATTTTAACAGTACATACTCTTATAGAAACACTACTGTGCAGTCTCAAGGAAAAATACCATTAGACTGTTATTTATAAAAATCAGTAAATTATTACTCTAAAAAATATATAGATATTTATTATTTGTATTATTGTAGCTTATTACATTATATATTTTATATATTGTTTATACTGTTTATTTTGTTTTGTAACGTTTCTTATTCTGTTATCTGAGCGACAGAATCATTTTTTGATGGCTTTTTTTAATTCGGCAGATGTCGAACCTGGTAACCGTTTCATCATCGAGTCTGAAATATGTACAAATAATTGCATTAATAATTAAAATAATTGCATAATAAAAATAAAAATATGAAATAATATTTATAAACATAAATTTTATAAACAAATCAATTAAATATAAGACAATAGGTTTGTTCTGATTGATTACGCTTTTCCACTTTTGCATCAATGCAAATTTTTTGTTAGATAATCAGTCAATGAGAACTTGCATGTTTCAAACAATTATAAAAATATGGATAGAACACTATAATATAGGTATTCGCATCCACCATTTTTAGTCCTTTTTCCACTCTTTGTTTTTTCTTCATCCTTCAACCTTCTCTCTTCTCTCTTCTCAACTCAGCGGCGGAATGGAGAGAGAGAGAGAGCAAGGAATTGGGAAAAGGAGCAAGAGAGTGATAAAAGGACTAAAAATAGCGGATGCGAATACTCTGCATATTATAGCCATATTAGTATGGGCAATCAAGCTATATGTTCCAAAATTATCTGTTAGCATCGATGAGGTATTAAGATGGCTAAGACATATTAGTGGATATTTATCTGATATCAGAAACAGTAGACATCTAATTTTGAATATAATTTTCGCATTTATGTAATTCACATTTGTTAAAATTATCTGTAGGGGCTTTGTACTTTGATATGTAATATTATGTTCAGCTCATCGATATTTTTAAATAACATTTATGATGAATTTCATGAACGCCGAAGATTGCATGGAAAAGGCTATGTTTCCAATCTCACAAAAATGTTTTAAACCTTGTTATAAGGAAGTAGGTATAATGAAATAAATGTTACCAATTACTAGAGTTTAGATATGAATGTAGATTTAAAGCTTGCATCACTCTTCTGACCTGTCTATGATATTTGAGTGACTATTTCATTAGAGATAATTTGTGATAAAGTATTTCTAATAAACTGCTTATCCGTCGAACCTCCGATTCGACATATGTTCCTGTAATATAGTTACAAAAAATATACACAAATAGTATATACAAATATTATGAATAGAAGAAATGTATATACGACAGCGAAAATGAAATACACGTGTTTGAAAACAAATTCAGTCAATGTTATTAAATTAATTTAATACCGACTATCATCCATCTTTTTATGTAGCAATTTTGCCACTTAATTTTCTATTTGCATTATGTCATACTTTAATATTATATCAAATCCTTTTCAATATAAAATTACTAAATTTAATACATATAAATAAAAAAAGTCCTTGATGATTACATGAGAAATTAAACATAACGAAATTCAAAGTTATAAGATGGCGAGTAAATTTTTGAGAAAACAATTTTCCTAATGGATAATATAAGCATTTAAAGTAATATTTAACAAATATGAATATATTTACAAATTGTTTTCTCATGTTGGTATTCACTTCCAACTGATTTTCGCAAGAACTGTTTCAACGTCATTAGAGGCAATGAAGATATCAGATCTTGTGCTACAATCTCATCACTTCATCCTCATTTCCTTTTTTTAATAGAGCTTCAATAGCGTACATTTGTCTGGACAATCTTTTCAGTTTCTTATGGATATAGTCTCTGCATTCGCTTGTAATGATATGAAGAAATTGCAACAGAAAAACTGAATTAACATTAATAACTATTAATATTTTAATAAAGTCATCTGTCTATTATCACAATACCAGCATTGGTTATTTGCCAAAATTTTATTGTTTTTTTATTATTATAGGAACAGGAGAGTGAGTTTGTGATGTGCATTTACTTAAAATAATTTTTATGTATTTTTGTTTAAAAATACAATATAAAATATAAATATAATAAACATAAAAATATAATATTAAGAAAGAGATATTAAAGAGACCAACTATTAACAAATAAGTAAGTGTTCCTCTGTAAGAAATTATTTGCTTATCACAACAATTATTATGATTTCTTGTTGAGAGTTCATTTTCTATACCGTGGAATCAGATAAGTCTGAAAATCAAATATTTTATTAATATATAGTATACATATTAATAAAATATTTTCAGATGTCTGTGAGACCAATTGTTAATAAATTCGAATCGAGATATTTCGCAAGGCTCTTTGTTTATTATTGTTTATATTATTTTGTAGCTTAACGTGTAAATAGTAGTAGTAGTACTTTTCCTTTTCTAGTATTATAGAACAAAATATTTATTACTAATAAATTAGTATGTTGTGAAACTTAAAGTCATAGAAGTTAATACAGTTTTATTAGTTTTCTTTTTGAAAGCATAAATCAACATAGATGTGCTCACCGCTCATTAGTTCATTTAGAACAGACTTGATCCAATAAACCTCAATCAATTTGTGGTCTAATTTGTGTTCTCAAAAGAGAAACATTCCTTAAGAGAAGGATTTATCTCAGCTTCTTTACGTGCATAAATCTAATAAGTATAAACTTGGACAAACTTCTAGCAAGTTTTAATAAATATAAATTTTAATAAATATAAGCATTGGGAAATGCTATTGAAAGTCCTTATTGTAATTTACTTCTATTTCTACTTAGCAATATCACAGAAACAGTACACAAATTGTAATTGTAAATTTTAAAGGTATAGGTAATAAATTCATTTTTTCCTAATAAGTTTTTGATATTGTGTATATATAATACATTGATATAAACTGTATGATTGTGAACACAGGACTTAACCAACCTTATATATCAGATAAGTAATGTTCATCGTGTCGCTCTTGATGACGATCCGTTGGCTTGACTTTCCCAGGGCTGATAGATGAAATGCCGGGAATTTTTATCGTAGATTTTTGTTGTCTTTCTACAGAAATTTAAATAAAGTTACAAAGGAAATATGGCACTGTTAATGATATAAGATAATTATTTTTCATACTTTTCGAATCGTTAATCTGTTTCGAAGTAGAGTTTACTATACAACAAACAAAAGTATTAACATAATTAATCATAAAAGATTTTAAAATATTATGAAATAATTAGCTTCATCTAAACTTACAAAGCTGTTGAGTACAGTCTGGCGAGAATGCACACTTACTATTTAATTGCGATGCCTTGGTTATTGTAATAAAGTATTGTAATAAAGTAAAGTTCGCCGATTTCGTTGACGTTTCGACAACTCAGAAAATTGTTTGAGTATTTTCAGATTATTTAATCATAAATAATGTTATTTAATCATAAATAATTAACCTACACAATCCGGCTCTGACTATATACGTTATTTTAATTTTAAAATGTCTTTAATTAATAATTAAATACATAAATAATATTTTACACAAAAATACATTACCATAGTTGCACTTGTGTTTCCAAATCTTTAATAATATTAATTCTATTCTTTAATTATTAACAGACTCCCGGCTGCTATTTCTGCATTCGCCATTTAGCTATTATATGCTGCATCATGCGCAATCATGTGCGCGTACACTACAACGACATCTCATGAATATTTTGTGCAGGCTTTTTGGCAAATCGACTTAAAGTCGACTTAAGTCGACTATTTTAAAAAATAGATTATATATTATTCTTATAGGCAGTAATCCGATTTATGCCCACAACGCTCAGCATTCATCCTAGTTTAACTATAAAATAGTTAAACAACAAGAAATGATTCCAATTTTGTAAGCGTAAATCGCCGTCCTAAAGTTTAGATGTCCTAAAGTCGACATTGGAAGGATGTCTATACAAAGTCGACTTAACTTTGCTAAGTCAGGCCTTTAGAGTCGACTTTACAATCCTGACTTAGCAAAGTCAAATTACAGTAGACATATCGACGTTTATGCTGTTAGGGAGAAGAAACAAGCAGCAGTTTGCGCGGTTCCTATAGTTACCCAGTTAGTTTCTGTATCGCATACCGCGCTACATGTAATTGTATTCTGAGGCTGTGTTCAGATTCCTCACCGGGTGAGTAATCGCTGGGTGACTGGATGTGTGGGCGGAGCGAAAAATACCGGAGTGATTTGGGAATCTGAACGCACTCTAAGAGTGTCTTGCCATCGATTACAGCAAATAGTAACATAAATATATCAGATTTAATATGAATTACATATAACTAATTACATGTGACTAAAATACGTATATAATAATGATAAAAGATATAAAATAAATATCTTACAATATCTAAGTCTCTCGACCTGTAAAACTTAATAGATGATTAAATTGGCTTCCTTTGAATTATGGTTTATATTGTTTATAATAAGCGTAACCTGAAATTTAAATTTTCGTGTAGATGCACGTCAAACATGCTGGGATAGCACAGGAAGTCTTTAATGCGCCACTACTCATTCCATCTGGCTCAAGAAATCGGATGCTAAAAACCATTCTTCCGAGTGGATAGAGTAGGAATCTGAACGTTCTACCTAAAGGCTACCTAAAGTGCTCAATAAAGGCACTTAAAAAGAATCTAAATGCTTTCTGAATGTCTGGGTGTATCCGAGTGGAAAATCAGGGGGTCGATTATATATCTTGAAATGAGGTGAAAATTACAAAAGTGAACAAATATCACTATAATTTTCATAATTTAATTGATCAATACCTAGTAACCTTTGCTCACTTTTATAATTTTCATCTCATTTTGAGATACACAATCGACCCTCTGAACGCAGAGGTATATTTGACACTAACGCCATCATTGATATTATTGACACTTTACGATATGATTAGTTACGGTAATAATGACGCAAGTGGAATACAACGCTAGGTCAATAATTGTATGACAAGTGTGGCGTAACGACATGCGTCAAGTTCTGTATGTGATTTTGAATCCCGTACGTGAGTTCAAGTCCCTATTCTCATTAAATAAAAGTGTTTTCCTCTTAACCTTATATTTAATCCATTATTTCTCGTTTTCTGCCAAATATTCTGACCACTAAATTCCGTTACAGTCTCTTTAAGAAATTAACACTCTTATTAATAATCTCTCACGATGTTATTCTATTTCCTTAGTTATTCTATAGTTCCTTAGAACTTGCCGCGAGATTTTCGATACGAAACCTGAGACATTCTTACAGCTTCAAAAGTAGGCTATCAACAGGCTTTTTAAGCCGATTTATTCAGAGGAATCCCAGAGGACGTAGCTAGACAGGTTTTCGACAGACACTGAAGATTGGCATCGTTTGTATGGAGCGTCGATGCTCGAAAAAACAACATATTCGTGTGTATTAGAACTCATTCATTGTAATTGGTTGGTTTGCTTTTATTCTTTTCTTGTCAAACGACCTATTCATCGGTTAAGAAGACTTATCGTGATTTCATTAGTAGCTCCTAATAGTAGCTTCTTGTTGCTAAAGCATGCATTCATGTGTTGTTTGAAGAACAACATTACATCTTATTAGCCGTTTCGCTTTCGTCTGTCCGACAACTCTTATTGGTGGAAAAATTCGACGCGGACAGTGAGATTGTTTTTGGCGAGTTTGTTTTTCCTTTCGTGAGCGTGTGATTGTGTACAGACTTTCATGCGTTATATATATCTCCGCGAGTGACTCAAGTCTCAAAACTATGCTTTTAATGTCTCATCAAGTTTTTAAACATTCTACTTAGCCTTTCTGTCGTCACGCCATTACAGAAAATCGATCGACTTTGGATGGAAGATCTTACATATAATCAATTTGTTATTGAAGCCTGTAGATACGGCCTGGTTCCACATTCTTCTTGAGCCAACCTTATGTTATTTGTTATAACCGATGTGGTAGACTTTCGTTCTGTCCACTGTTGCCGCAGGTCGAAAAAATATTTCACTAAATGGACCTGGAAAGACTAAAATGTAATAATAAGACTAATGTCATAAAAATGCATTAAACCAAAAGGAGGAAAGTCTTTATAATGCAAATCATATCAAGAATGTAACTTATTCGAAAAAATTAATAAGTACCACATTTGCCATGTATATTCAGATATATTTATCCCTGTACAATAACATCATTGGAAACATTTTCTATTTTTTGATACATCTAACGCACGATAATGACATTAAACAAAATTGAAAACTGAAATACAAACTAATTACATAACTCATTGCACGTCCAGTACCTGAGTATTTGTACTTTTTGATGCACCCTTTGATCTCGGTAATTATAAATATTGGCGATACAATTGTAACAGTCTCCATCATTATACAGATTGTTATAAAATAACTGTCAGAAACAAATAAGCACAATTCTTAAAAATAAACTTGTCACGCTTTAACGCTTACGTTCTTCAACAACATTGAATGCATTATGAACGATAAGTGAGCTCTCTCAGTTAGTTTACTGATTAGGTTAGGTTACAACTTATGAAAAAATGTATGATTTAAAATGAAATGTTTAAAGGTAAATTTTCACGAGCTGCTTAAACTCGTTTCAGCGACAAAAAGGATCAAGTGATCAAAATTGACAAATATCAAGCGTTGAAAACAAGATTAATAAAGTCTTAAACACAATGCGAAGGAATAGCGATAGGAATAACACGATTTCAATCTATCTGAAAGTGTATCCTAGTGTATTCCAGTGTGTATCTGATTAGTGTATATCTGATTTCTGATAGGTTGAATTGTATATTTCATGTTATTCCTATCGTTATCGCTATTCCTTCGCATTGTGTTTAAGGTTTAAGAGGAGTGGAGGGCGCTGGCATAAAAATTCACCAAATAATAAAGAATTCACTAAATTAAAAGATTTTAAAAATCACTAAAATAATAAAAAATCATTAAAATCCGCAAAATTTTCTTCTGCCACTAAGCCACACAGCCCTGACATTGGTATCTCTATCTGTATCTATATCTAGTAAATTTCTTACACTTATTAATAATCTCTCGCAACGTTACTTTATGTTTCCCTAGTAAACTTGCCGTTATTGAGATTTTCGATTACGAGACTTGAAAGACATTCTTACATATAGAAATCGCGCAAATCGTACCGCTTCTTTCCTTCTCTATTACATAAAGGCTATTATGTAAGGGCCATTCCACACAAACTTGCATAGCCGCATAAACAACATGCATAAAAACATGCATAAAGAAAATCATCCAATCACATTTCTGTCATAAAGATAAACATAAAGTATGATTAAAATATGCGGTAAGCGGGTTAGTGACAAATAAATTTTAATATGAATTTTTAAAAATATATTAACTTATTTTTATGCACATTTCATCAACACTTGTATTTTTTCAAAGATTTTAGTTAATAATTGCATTTAAATCAATTAATTCTATTAAAAAGTGCTTAGTAATGTGAATTTGTCACTGGCTAGTGTCGCTTACCGCATATTTTAATAGTTCTCTATATATAATAGAGAAGAAAAGAAGCAAGCAACACGGTTTGCACGGTTACTATAATTATCTAATTAGTTTCTGTACCGCGTATCGCGCTACATATAATCACACCCTTAGTGCTGTTCCATGACGTGCCTATCGCCATATGCACGTATTCGCATATCGAAGTTTCGACCAATCACTAACGTTCCGCCGTTTTATGCCTATACACAATAATCAGCGATTTATATATTTACAGTAATGCCAATTTGGTGGTTTTCCAGAGCTAGCGTTTTTTAAAGATTCTCAAGCTATAAAATTTAAAAAATGCGGATAGCAATAATTCTGACGGGATTTAATTTTTTTTTACTGACGGATTTTATTTAAAGCTTAGATGGATACTTATTTTTACATGTACTACAACGCGATTTCTAATTTATATTTTGCAACATGATGCACTGAGATACGCCATCTTTAGATATGTATGTATGGGATAATGAACATGGCTATTAGTTGCGGCTGTTGTATCCATTTGTGATTCGTGACGCGGCGCTGCTATAAGAAAATCGAGAAAATTTTGAAATCAGCCATAGACTTATAAATAGACTTATAAATAGACTTGAGGCAACAACTTAGACTAAGGACAGCAGTCACTATTCTGTTTTTTTTGCTATGTTTCAACCTATATTTTCGATAAAAGTTTAAAATGGGGAAAAACGAAAGCTGTTTATCAGCAAAAATTCAGCTTAAATGGAAGATGTAGCCAAAATTAAAGAACTGAATTCGAAAGAGAGAGGAATTGACGAATAAAACTCAAGCACACTGTACATATTGTAAGTGCAATATTCAATGTAAGCTGAGCAATTTGCTCTCCCATACTGAAAAAAAGCATACATCAACCTGTGGATCACACATGCAAATAAACTTTCGTTCAGACTTTCATCCTCTAAGACACAAGAGCAAGAGGCTGCTTTAGCATTGTACATTAGTCAAGGATGATAAGAACGTCATTGATCGTGAAGATGAATGGATCACTATCGATATTGAATAGAAAGATTTTCTGCGACCTCTTACATATTTTACATTTATTTTTAGTTTATAAAATAACTTTTAAAAACGTTATACTTTGTTCTTATATTTATTTGAGAAAAATTTTACAATGGATGAAATGGGTAAATAGAATATGCAAAAACTCAATGTTAACGCAAATTTAATATATATGTATATTCCAAGTTAGCCTGATAATTATATATGTATGTAAATTTGAAAAATAGATTAAACATTTACGTTTCAGTTATTCAGTGGTTTTAATTTATTTACATAATGAAATTTCTTTCGCAATTATATTATTAATAAATCAATAGTCAGTAGTGACTAGCAAATGAGAATGGATTGAAATGGATTAAAATTGATTCAGAAATATTCAGAAATACGGATTCATAAATGTTTAAGTGAATCCTTTTCAATCCTGAATGCATTTTTATTCATTTATAGGAATGGCATGGAGTTTCTATCTTTTCAATCTAAAGATAATATTATAATATTTTGTGTGGTGTGTGCATCGTGAATACTGCTTAATTTAAAATTCTGAATAGGAAATGCAGTTTTTTAATCAAGTTGAATATAAAAAAAGGTTTTTCTTTTAAAATGAGCCATATATTTAAAATTTATGAGTAGAAAATTCATTGTTTCATTTAAAAATGCATTGTGAATGCTATTTCATTTAAAAATATAATTGAATTGAATAAGAAATTTTTCGTTTTAATTCAACTGAATTAAAAAAAATGTACCGTAAAAATATATTATGAGAATTCTTCTTCATTTAATAGTTAAAAGAAACATAAAAAGAAGTAAATATGTAGAATAAATGTTACTTATATAAATTTTTAATTTTTAATTAATAAACTTTTATGTATATTTTATATTAACATTTCCTTTAGTATATAGCGTATATTTTTTATATAAAAGATTTAAAATAATAACTATAGAATTTTATATAATTACTACTTTAATTTATTTAAACTTTTACATATATAAAAATATTTATATGGAATCCAATCTATTTTTATGGATTTAAAATACAGATTTGAATGGATTGAAAATTTCCAATCTATTTCAATCCATTTTCGTTTGCTGAATATATACAGAATAAACAAGAGAAAAGTGGAAATTAATGATATATAAAGCATAATCAATTGCACGTCTATTAAGAGAAGGAAGTTCCTCCTCGATATTTGATAGGTGCTCTGCCAGTTTGCCTCAAGCTAGCAGTACAATCATGAAATTTTAATTTCCGGATAAAGGATAGGAGCAAAACAAGTCATTATGATATCAAAATGATATCAAAATGAATGACTCCAAAATGATCATTAAAAGTTATTTTTCAATCATTTTCGATTCATTTTAATGTCATTTTGACATTATCATGACTTGCTACTTGGGTAATTTTTTAATAGAATATTTAATTAGCACCTAAAAAGCACCTAATTTTCGTGTTAGTATTTTTAATTCCTGATAACTTTGTACTATGCTAGCTTGATAGATGTGTCAATATGACACTTAATCTTTAATCAGAATCGACCAATCATGAAAGTACTTTAGGGTTACATGAGTCTCTCTTTTCCCTCCCCCACCCCCCTCTCCCAATGTGTGCCTGTGCGTGTGCACGCGCGTGTGTATGTACCACTTTTTTCTAACATTCATCTTATATAAATATGTGCGTAAAAGTAATTACAAACAAATATATAAATATCTGATGATTTTTTGGCGGTATTTCAAATAGAATTTAGCGGGTAATTTTTTTCAACAGTTGGCATCATTGTGTATTTATGTGTGTCGGACAGTCAAGTAAATCAGCGGTAATTAATAATTTTGTAGTGTTCTTACATCGTTAGAAATACCAATTTTAGTTGAATTTAGTAGAAACGAAATTATCGACTGGTGGAAAATTAAGAAAATATATCGTTAGGTAAATATCATTAATGATTAGAAGTTAGGTTATATTTAGAAATGAATGTTTATGAAATGATGTGAATCTTTTCTCTATTTCAGAAAAATATATTTATATATTTATTTTCTTTTGTTCAAATGCATTTTTTTCGCGTATTCATTTCTTTAATACGATGTATACAAACAAATGATTCCAAAAATAATAAAACAGAAAAAATCTTTTTATAAAAGGTAAAGATATAAATGACATCTTTGTCATTTATATTTTGTATATTTATATTTTGTATCCAGTTCTTTCGTTTTGCAGTCCGAAGTGTGAATATTGGCATATCGATGGATTATTGGGAACAAATCTCCTATAACATCGATGCTTTAGAATATTTAACAAAGAAATGCACTTGTTATATATCGATGACAATAACGTTGTTACGATGTAAAGTATTATTAAATAAATCAAATTTTTTATCATCTCTTATTGAGATATTAATTTCAGCAATTATAATATTTACATTATTTTACAATTGGGAAGTATCAATCATCATCGATAATAGCGATAACAGTGATAAGCGAAATAGCAATACAACGATAACAGTTGATAAGAGTTGCTCAGCCTTTGAAAGTGAATCTGCAAGAAAGGATGCAGTAGATAAATTCCTGCTTCAAATCATCTACGAGCCCTCCCAATACGCGAGAGACATCAATTTGAGATACAAATCTTGTCTCTATTTTTCGAACAAAAGTTGAGCCCAGTTTAATAATGTATTTGTGTAAATGTTACATTTATATTTGTTCTGATAATTCGTTATTATTTATACTAATTTTAAATACACACACACACACACAC